ATCTGGATCCCTACTCAACTCCAAACCAAAACACATGCCAAGGAGAAACCTGAGCCCTAAAGGATGAGAACAGTCCTTTCCACTTTAGAACGCAATTGGTTTCTTCCATAGCAGTCAAGATTTAAGGGTATTTTTTTCCAAGGTTGTCTAGCCTTAGTTTCAGGTCTCTCTGGAACAATCTGCCTCATTCTGGGGACTTATAGACCCTCATTCATTGGAGCACTTTCAGGGTCACTGAATTCATGAACTCCCTGACACTGTACTTGAAATGCCCTCTGCTCCTAGCCTCAGCCCTGTCTTCCTAGATTATATTAGCTCATGGTCACTGGGGTGTCTATGGATCCATGTATCACTATGCAGAGGACCTGGCCCATCTACCGACTGCTAGTTCCTCTATTTGCACATGAGCTTATATTCTCATTCTGTGCCTCTTAGTTTATATTCTCATCAAGTACCTTTCCAGGTCTCCCTTCATTTCAAATATCCTGGAATCCTCTCTCTCAAACCATTTCATTCTGAATTCACCTAAAACAACAAGGAAGACCGGGAGGAAATCATATGATGCCATGCCAAGACTCGTTGGGAGGATTTAATTGAAGAGCATAAAATCTTAAATAGTACAAATAATCTCAACTAATTTCAGCCCAGACCAGATGACAAGGCAAGTGAGCATGAATTAAAATTACAGATAAACACATTTGGAACAGATGTTGGGAAGAACTTTTCCCCCAACACTGGAAGACATTAACATGCAGCAAAGCCCTCCAAAGTCATTGGCAACACTGAAGATACAATTAGAGCAGATTATGAGGGAAATAAAACCCTGAGGAGAGTGTCAAAAATTTGGGGATGAGTCAAATGATTGCTGTGTTTTCCTGGAGCGGGCATGTGAATACATGGTCAAGAATGTTGACTTTTTACTTTTTTCTTCAGCCTTTAACAGAAAGCAACAGAAATTCATGAGTAATCTTTTTCTGCTGGGTTTACATTCAGGCCTTTATTATTTCTTTCCAGGAAGGAGAATAGATGTCACTCCAATGTGCACCCCTCCCACACCCACAATGGTCTCACACTTCAAGCCAGCAGGCTTCTGCTAGGAGGATTACCTCAAGATAATGAAGAGGGTAAACAAATTTTATGCTGTCAATACAAACCATTCTGAGGCATCAGAGGAAGGCTGCAGCAGTGATTAGCACTGTTCTGAGTGACACTGCTGACAACTGAGACCTTGAGCCCCCAGTGATCCCAAAGTGGCCTCCCCTGCTAGAGTCTATCATCTTTATTCCTTTTGCATGTGTCTTGCCAAACTGTTGTATATCCTTTTCCTAAGGTCATTTTGGCTGCACCAATAACCCAATGGATTTAATTACCTATTCAACTGTTAACCTTCATTTTTCTCTAACGAGAGGGGGAATTAGTTATTGCATTTGGCATGACTCAAGATTTGGAGAGGCAAGGTGTCTGAGCCCCTAATCTGTACACACCTTCTGTTGAGACACTGAGTACTGTTTACCACAAGGTCTTAAGTTTAATTTGCACAAAGAGAAAAACTCAGTGTAAAACTACAGTCTGCACATTTTATTTTTAGCAGTCAAGAGGGGGGAGTGCAGTAAAATACATAAGAAAATGTGCATCACTAAGTCAAAAAAATTAATTACACAATCAAACTAATAAGTTATAACTTGGGGAAAGGAGTCGAAACTCAGCGAAACGGGCTTTAACATCATCTCATCTGCAAAATAGAGAAGACTATCATCGTTCAAAGACGTTGGCATGAAAATAACAAAAACATTCTACGTGACAGGAAGATATCTTCACCCCTACCCTTCTCCTACATTTAGAGAATCAATTTATAAAATGTGATCATTAAAAAAGTGTTATTCTTTTCTAAAGTTGGAAGTCCTTACAGATAACATACTGTCAACCAACTGAGATTGAGGATAAAAACCCCTCTTAGGCAGTTTCCTCAAATGTCCAATCTGAGCTTCTCCAGGTGAGGTGGCTTATACAAGTCCTAATGAGAATGAACCGTGGAAAATTTCAAATTCCACAAGCAGACATAAAAAGATTTTCAACTTAGATTTCTAAGGAAGGATACTCTCAAGGGATAATTTCCCTTAGAGCAATGATATGACACTCACAGTGAGACAGAGAGAGATGATAAATATGCTAATTGAAGGGCCTTTGGTGCAAGTATCGAAAGGTCACAGCCACTTTGGTTTCTGTAGTCAATAGCATCAGGGTGGCAGAAGCCGTACAGCTGTGTCACACCACAGTGCTCATCCCTGAAACACACTTTTCATCTCATCAGACTTCCAACTAGAAGCTTCTTTGTTATTCGGTGGATAATATGCATCCACAAAGCAAATACTGTGGCCTTTCCAATTGCAGGATAAACATTACTTCACATAGAAGTTGGAAGTTGGGTGTTTCTCATCTTTTCACCACTTTCTGTTTTGTTTGTGGTTGGGGGGCAGAAAGAGGAAAGATAAGAAAAACTGAGTAATTTTCCTTAGAAGAGATGCCTGGGCTTTCCAAGTCTTGTTAAAATAGAAATTGTCCAGGCTGCTTCCCTTCCTCCAAGAGTCCACTCAAAAAACACAAACATGGAGGTAAAGGGGGGGGGGGGGACAACAAGAAGGGAAAAGTATTTCTCACAAAATTATGTAAAGATGCTCTTGGGAAATAAATTGGAATTAAGAGAAATGGAGTAAACTTCATACAGAACATAATACAAGACAATAGGATTTTGAGCTCATCACTCATCTGGATATTTTTTAATCGTTATTTAAACTGTATGTGTCTTTTGAAAAAGAGATACCCTACTGCCCAGATTGACAACCTTTCCTTTTCTCGCCACCTGATGCACACAGATCTGAGCATGTGGACAAGTGGGCAGGATGTTCTGGACTGTTCTCTGTTATGTGTCAATAGGAAAGGAGGAGGCAATAATGGTAGGTGGTATTGAAAATGGCCTTAGTGGGGAAACATTGCTTCCTTCATTCCATTGTCTGAAATTTTGAGATAGGAGTAGTATAGAAGAAAGTGAAGAGAACACATGGGCCCAAATGGCTTAGTTAATCCAACTTCCCAATGGAAGTCCCTCCCTGCCACATCTATCCTGAAGACATGTTCCTGTCAAAATGTAGACTTGTCAGAGAGCACAAAACAAACTCTCATACACAAATATCTCCATTCAAAACCATCTGTTTCCAAATGCAAGATTACCTAGTTGAGAAAGAAATGGGAAGGAGAAAGTCCTCAATTTCACAGTGGCCCTGGCTAAGATCAAGTCCATGAAGTCTTGCTCATGCCTCTCACTCTTCCCTAGCTGAGTCAGGTCTGGGAAAAGCCACCAGCTTGCTAGCCATGGGAGCGCTGTATAAGCTTGCTTTTCAGTGAGATGTGACACCTCTCAGTATCTACTGGTAAAGAAGGGCATGCATTCCAGAGAAACGCTAGCAGAAGCAGCGGCACCTGCTCTATAGTAAATTGGGTCAGAGCAATGAAATCCATCCTGAATTTCTGTGGTCTAATCAATGATTCAGCTCTAATGAAACCATAAATCAGAAAGGATTTGCATAAACTGAGTCCCATTTGGCACCTCAACAAATCGCAAGTGATGGATTTTGCATTAAATTATAAGACCTACCTAACAACCTTATTGGTTACCAATAAATGCATCGCTCTGAAAATTCCACTCAAGTTTTAGGCGTTTCTAAGGCTTCCCAGCTGCCAATTTGCTTATAGTCATAAAAGTAGATAAATCAGGGCAGACATTCTTGAGAGCATGCTCAGCATGTCCCTGATTCTAAGAGCCATTCTTGGCTATCATCATACAAAGATTTCCTACGAATTTTGCCAGGGCATAGTTCACTTGGGATTGGAGAGAGAAATCACAACCTAAGTTGAAAACATATCGTGGCAAAATATATATTTTAATATATCAAAAGATATTAGGGAGTAGTCAGCAAATCTGGGGCCACCACCCATTTTTGAAAATAAAGTTTATTGGAACACAGCCACATCCATTCATTTACCTTAGCTCCTGGCTGCTTTCATGCTATAGTAGCGGAGCTTAGTAGTTGTAATTCTGTTAAAATTTTCTATCCCATATATATTTACTTTGAGAACCTTTAAAGAAAATTTTAGACAACCCCTGCACCAAAGAAAAGATGATAAAATATAAGGCTACTTGAGCTAAACTGCTAGGTTACTGAGTCCTCCTTCCTTAACACTGGAAGCATCAAAGTTCAGCCAAAAAGAATCTAATTTGAGAGATAATTGAGTAAGTGAAAAATTTGGGGATAAGTATAGTTTCAAAATAACAGCTATGAGTCTAACAAGATTTCTTTTTAAGATTTTGTATAACTGCTGAGGTTCTCCTAATGCATCTAATTCTGCCCCAGTGAGCATTTCAGAGAGGAAGTGACACTTGAGCTGGAGTTCAAACAAATAGGAATACATTTGGGGATGAAGGTAATTCTAGGAAGAGGAAGCAAAAAAAAAATTTTGCCCAAGAATTAATTAGCAATCAAGTGTTAATTATTTGAAGCTTTTTTTTCCTAAAAGGAAATAAAAATAAAGTTGCATCTAAACATATTCCTTGAGTAAGAATTCACCATAAGTCATTTTTCTCGATCCCACTCATGAGAAAAATGTCATAATGATGATAATGGTTATTATTACAGGAACTATCATTAGCATTATTATACAAGCTATCGTTTATTGAACATTTATCACATGCTGAGTATTATGCTGGGTGTTTATGCATTATCCCATTTAATCTTCACAGCAGTCTTATGAGGTAGGTACTATTATTATCATCCTCATTTTGCAATTGAAGAAACTATGACTGAGAAAGGTAAATAGAATGTTCAAGTTTCTAAGCAGCAGAGCAGAGGTTAGGATCCATGTTATTACGGGTGCACTATTCACTGAACCCTCACACAGCCACCCCAGCCCCACCTAAGCACAGCCCCCTCACCAAGCCCTCTTACCTCTACAGACACTGCAGCACTGATTCTCTGGAAGAATGTGATCCTTTTCTGAACAGTTCAAAGGAGGGCACATTTCTGTAATTTTTACTAAAACTCCACCCTAGAAGCCAAATAACAAAAAAACAAAAAAGATGTCCATAAGTTTAGCCAATGATACAAAGTATAATGCTCATTGTTAATAGCCTACAGTGATAGCAGCCTACAATAACTAATACCACTCCTAGGAACCTCATTAATTATGATAACATTGCAAATTAAATTGATGAGACTCTTAGAAGAGAAGGCACATTTCCTTTTCGGTATGAAAAAAAAATCAATCTAATGTTTTTGAGTATCTACTTTAAAACAGAAGGATGCTAACAGTGATATGCTGATACATTTTTAATAATTGATTCGAGTGGAGAAGGTCTAATTTGTGAAGTTTATTGATCTCTATGGTGTAAGTATTCTAACGATGGTTGATTTTGAGCTACCAACCCAATATCATTGAAAAGAGAGGTGGGGAATTATAAATAGTGAGCTTAAGAGAGTCAGTTCCATCATTCTGCTGGGTAACAGGCATTGTGAACTTCAAAATAAATAAGACATCTTCCTTGTTCTTGGTGAGCTCACAGTTTGGGTGGAAGGAAATAAAAATGACTTAAACTAAAAACCATAATACAGCAGAGTAAGTTCTAAAAACATGGGCTTTGATAGAGGCATTCTAATGAGTCATAGGAGAACAATTAATTTTTTCAGATGGGAAGAAATTATGAAGATGCCACATTTCAGGAAACTTAAATAATGAAATAAAAGAAAAAGAAACCTTGCTAGCAGAGGAAATAGACAAGAGCTGAGCTATGCAGGTATCGCGGTACTGAAAAAGCATCTGTTAGATGAGCACCAGCTTTCCCCTAGATGTAAGTAAAATTACATACAATAAAGTGTTAAATATTCAGTAATTGAATCTTTATAACCAAACTTCATCTAAGGCCCTCTTCATTGGCATCACTTGCATCTGTGTTGAGTTTCATGCTGAATTTTAAAAATTGGCCCATTGATTACTCTTTAAAAAGGTGGAAGAGGACCTCACTCTATCTAAAACATTTAATTTTTCTCTCCCATTCTTACGTTCACGTTTAAGACAACCAAGAAGCAAGCTCCAGAAGGGGAGTCTCATGTAAAGCCAAAAGGCAGATCCAAACACAGGTGGGAGAACAGGGTGCAGCTGGACAGGACTTTTCATTCTAGTATCTCCCTGCTTCTCCACCTTTAAGGTTGGCAAGAACTCCCACTGTTATCAGGCATACCCGTTCTTAAATATGAGCATAGGTATAATATTAAATGTCAAATGTAAATCTCCACTGCTCATCTTTTGCATAAATTATCTGTACCATAATTTCCTCACCTCATAATTTCCCACCCAGACAGTATAGCATTCTTTGTCCTGTTTTTCTTTAATTTTGCTCTTTATTTCCTAACCTCTTACTTTTTAAAATTCCAAATATAAAATGAGTATACACTGTTTTTATAAAACAAAACAATACTGAAAAGGCTACGAAAACATTTTTTTTAAAAAAGTCACTCATGAAAGGTTCTTTTTACAAAGGGGGCTTGCTTTGACTGCTGATTAAATCAGTCAATAATTCTAATCAACCTCTAACATATTTAATGAGTAAGATCATAATTCCAAATGTTTAGAGAAAAACCTTTGTGCTTGAATTTAAAATATGAACTGTGATTATTGTTGCATAAGTGCCAATAAACCCATTTAGTCCATCTACATAATTAGACACAAAGCTTTTTAACTTTATTTTGAAAACTATCTCCAATGAGAGTAATTTATGATTAACATTCTTAAATCATCCTGATTATGGTATGTTATTTTATGGTCTCTGCATTGAGCTCTGGGTTTAGTGGGAAAATACCATTCTTGTAATACTCTCATTTAAGAGTTACAATCTCCATGTCATTGGTCAAATAAAAGCAATTTTAAGTTCCATACTAATCACTGTGCTAAACTTGAATCTCTAATAACATTTTCAAGTCGCAAAGTATTGCTAGGCTAAAGAAATGTTGCAAAAAGAGCAATACTGAGAAATATTAAGTTTATTCATTTTAACTTAAAAAAACAATACATTAACTTCTGGAAATACTTGGGGAAAATATTTGACACCAAAGGATTTTCCTCTTATGGCTGAAGACTTTTTAAAAAAAATGGAAATGGATGGATCTTCAGGTTGTATTTTATCAACTGGGGATCTCCATTTGAATCTCAGAACACAGAAATTTATTTGACATATTGTTTCCTCTAATATCTCTAGGATAGTACTTATATAGCACCATTTCAGATGTATAGGAAAAAAGTCAATTCATTACACACAATAGATGCTATTATGATTTGGATCTGAAATGCCACCCCCCTTGCCAAAAAGCTCATCTATTAGGCAATGCAACATTATTCAGAGGTTTTAAAAAAAATTGTATTATGAGAGCTCTGACGACATCAGTGGATTAATCCATTTGCTGGATTAATCATTTGAATAAACTACTGGATGGTAACTGTAGGTAGGTAGGGCATGGCTGGAGGAAGTAGGTCACCGGGAGAGTGGTCTTGGGAACGGCATCTCTCCCTTGCCTCATCCTGTCTCTCCTTCTCTGCTTTCCAGTTGCCATGAGTTGAGCTTTGCTCCACCACACCCTTTCACCAAGATGCCTCATCTCAAACCAAAGCAATGGACTTGGACGACCATAGACTGAACTTCTGTAACTTTGAGCCCCCAAAAACCTTTTCCTCTTCTAAGTTGTTCTTGTCAGATTTTTTGTCACAGCAACAAAAAACTGACTAACACAGATGCCATAGAGCATTGGGGCTTAAATCTTTAGAAGGGCTGTCTGCTGGAGATCAGAAGACTTCTTATCCTATACCTAGTCCCCTCTCTCCACATCCATTAAGTGTGTCCCAGTGCTCTTCTTTGTGCTTTTATAAATGCTACACTTGACCAAGAGAATCAACGGGTCCTAGCCTGACCAATTTGGATTCTTAGATAGATTGAAAAGTAATCATTCACTCTTTCTGAATCTACCCCTCTAAAATTCAGATGTGAAAAATATTTCCAAATAAGTCTAACAGCATCAGGAGTGGCAACAGGGGAGGCAAAGAGAAGAAATTATGGAGCCAGACCACAAAGATCTTGCACCCAGCTAGCTCACTCATCAGCCATGTGGCCTTGTTCTTCTGTGACCTAATTTGCAATTCTATACAGTATCTACCTCTCAGGGTTAGTACGAGGCTTGCATAGAATAATATGTTTAAAATGCTTTAAACAGTGTCTAGAAAAGTGAAGTTAGCCAATCCCAAATAAACAAATACTGAATGTTTTCTCTGATATAAGGTGACTAACTCATAATGAGGTAGGGAGGAGGAGCATGGGAGGAATAGACAAACTCTAGATAGGACAGAGAGGTGGGAGGGGTAGGGAGAGGGCAGGGGTTTAGCAATGATGGTGAAATATGATAGACATCACTATCCAAAGTACATGTATGAAGACATGAATTGATGTGAACATATTTCATATACAGAGATATGACAAATTGTGCTCTATATGTGTAATAAGAATTGTTATGCATTCTGCTGTCATGCATTTTTTAAAAATAAAATCAATTAAAAAAGAAAATAGTAAGTGCTCAAGAAATGTTAAATAATACTGTCAAATGCCCTTCTCTCTGTGCACAAAGTAACCATTTCGTAAATAACTGCTGAAAGACAATGAATAAAAACATGATGTCTTTTTTTAAAGAGGATAAAATTACTCATGTGCATTCACACACATGCACGCATGCATGCACACTCCAGTTGTGCAAAGAGAATAACCCGTCTGCTCAACTTCTTTCTAAATTGTTAAAAAAAAAAAAAAACACCGAACATACTAAAGATGAAATGAAGTATATATGGCATCCACAATGTGCCAGTAACAGTGGTAAGTACTGCGCAGATGAGTTGGCATTTAAATTCATTTAAATCAATGTATCTTTCTCGGGTCCCAAATATGTCTGCCTTGATCCTCTCTGATAATAACAGAGATGAAGTCATAATAGTGACCCTAGCTAGAGTGACTCACTGCCTCCACCCAATATGTAAAAAGGGGCTGCTAGTTATAAATGATGGATCCATGGCTGGTGCTGGCATCATAAGCAGAGGGGGAAACTATCTTTCATCATTTGAGCTTTCCCTAGGTAAAAGAGAAAAGCAAGGGTTTTAGAATCTAAATCAATTTCCTTCCCCTAGAAGTGAAACAATTTACAGAGCACAGGACATCTGTCTTATATTCAAGTAGGACATACATAGTGATGTAAAATAATAAAAATAGCTCTCATTTAATGAGGACTTACTTTGTGCCAAGCATTGCATTAAATTACTCACATACTTTGTCTTCTTTAATCCAAACAACGTCCCAATGTGGTAATGGGCTTGTGCTAGTCCTAGGTAAATAATCACCCCCTCCTATCCCACCACACTCCAAGGACTGGGAATTTTCTTGTTGATGGAGAGATCACAAAGCCCTCACTGTCACTCCATTCCTGCTTCTGCCACAGGCTAAGAAGCCCCTATAACCAGCACCTATGGACACAGAGAGACCACCACACCTATGTATCCACCAAACTTCCTGGACCCATGGAGTCTCTGGCATTACTACTGGCAGCCAAAAGAGGCGAATGAGAAATCCAGTAGGGATATTCAAAGGGATTAACCCCTAAGGTAGATTCTGGTCAGTGAGAGACAGGATATGGCAAAAGGGCCCTTTCTCTTCAAACTCTTATAAAGAACACGATTTAAGCTCTTTTGTTAGAAAACTTCTGTTCAGTCTCTATATGCCTCATTCTCTTCAATCTTCAAAATACATTCCTTCCTTTTCTCTAGGGACCTGATGAGAAGAAAATGAAATAAAGTAGTTAAAAGCACTTGCAAAGAGGGTCTATTCTGAGACACAGTGGTTCTGTCAGCCTCTCAGGAGATGCCTCACAAAACCCGCTGTGCTTTGTCTCAGGGCTGTGGCTTCTCTGTAATGCATGCTCTTATGTTTGCCCCCCTGCCTTTCCTTTATTACTTCCTTGGGTCTGTCCCTCTCTTTCATTTCTAGAACTGTACCTCTCCTTCCCCATCACCACCAAAGATTAAATAAATAAAGCATCAACACAAAAGTCCATGCTTCAGATTCTACTATCTAACAACCTAGACTAGACATGTAGGCAGTGTTTCTATTCTGTCCAATTTTTCCCAGCTAACGTTGGACAAGAAAGGGATATCTGGTTGAAAGGCAATGGGGCAAACATTCCCTTATTGAAGTTGACGTCATTCACAATCCCCTAGGGTGGGTGGTTCTGCCTATAAAATTGTCTTAAGTTGTAGTGGGTTTGAGGGATCAGGAGAGGGAAAACATGCAGGAGGATATAAGAACCCTCACTTCTTTTACCTAAACTAAGCACGTCCTACCAACCCAGCTCTTACTGGAACCCCTTGGTAGAAAAGAATGCAAGAAACTCTGAACTTCACTAATAACCAGGTCAAATTCCAGAATTTAAATCCAGGTTCATTTGAGTGCAGATTTTGACTTTTCAACCACAGTGTTACTTGCAAAAGTAAACAGATTCACTCTTATTCTCTGGAGGGCAAAAGCAACTTCACTGGGTAGAAGTTACTGAAACGTAGATTTTCACTCATTTAAAGGAATTTGCTGATCACTTAATGTTCTCTAGCCATGGAATGGTTACCTATTGGGTTGGTAACAGGGGTATTTTCAAATAGAAAAACTGTATCACAAAGTCTTATTTTGGTAGCTGGTGTCCAGTGATGCCTGTCTCCCTGATGATGCCTCTTAGTATTCATGCTTTTATATCATCCTTTGTGATGAATCTGGGCTCACCCTATATCAGCAAAAGAACATAGAGGAAGTGACACTGCACAGCTATCAAGCTTAGGTTATAAGAAACATTGGAATTTCTACATCAGATCTTTTGGGTGGTTTGTGCTGGGGGAAACCCTAGCCACCAAGTAAGAAACCTTGAGACCACTATGTTGTAAAGAAGCCCAAGGTAACCACTTCTAGAGGCCTCCAAGAGAAAGAGAGAGATAATAGACATAGAAACAGAAACACAGAGAGAAATTTCTGTTCCATTTATCTTAGTTGATGTGTTAGCCATATAAATAAAGAAACCATCTTGGACATGCAGCCATGTCAAGCCTTACAGGACTTTAGCTCCAGCAACATGTGAGATCCCAAAGTGAGAATCATCCAGCTCAGCCTGTTCAACCCATACAACCCTGAGAGATAATAAAATACTGCTCTTAGCCACCAAGTTTTAGGGAGTTGGTTATATAGCAATTGAAAGCCAAAATACTATCAAGTTCTACATGTCTAGAACTAGTTCCATTTTTTCTCCACTTGTTCTCAGCTTCAAAATAGTCCCATTTTTTTAGCTTTATTAATCAAATGCCCACTCCCAACCCTTTAAATCTTCTATAAATGACTTAAGGACAGTAGAAATGATTGAAAGTGATTCATCACAGCAAAGATATGCCTGACAGACTGCTCCTTCCTAGACCATGGCTATGGACTCTGCTTCTAAAGTTTGGGGACTACATAGTCTCTGCTTAGTCCCAAATCTGGTCTTTTGGCTTTTTAAGGATTATGTGAGTGGTCTCATTTCCTTCCAATAAAATCATAATTTTGCCTATATTATTCAGAGAGGGTTTCTGCCAATTGCAACCAAAAACAGCAAATGTCATTCCCTTTGGCCAGGAATCTCGACATCTACTTGGTTCCTCCTCCTATAGCCACAAATCTAACTATTCATGGACTCTTTTTAATTCTATTTCTAAACAGCTCAACTTTTCTATCACCTCTGGCCACTGCCTTAGGTCATTAGCATTTCTACAGCTGTTCAAATTCACCCAGTGCTCCCCATGATCCCCTCCACACAATCAAAATGAGCCTTGAAAATGCAAAGCTGTCATGGCACACCTGCACGCACCCCTTCAATGGACCTTCACCTTAAGATCAAGTTCAAAACTGGTATTCTCTGCTCTGTCTCTGTAGCTTCGTCTCTCTTCATTCTCCCACATTTGACTTCACCAAGTCAAATTTTTTGTATTTCCCTAAATAATACCTGACTCTTGGCATTTGTAAATGCTATTCCTTTTTCCTGGAATGTGCCTTTACCTTCACCCACTTAGGAAACAATTACCCATAAAGACCAGTTACCACCTTCCAGAAGCTCTGTTTAACCCTTTGTTGTTGATTCAAGGGCTTCTAATCAATGCTACTATATAGCATGAAGGACTTCCCAACAGCGTAAGCCTAAATATCCCATACTATAACTTGGTTTACTTCTCTCTTCCTCATTTATGTCAAGATCTTCAGAGAACTATAAAGTCTCTCATTTAATTCCAATTTCTTGCTCTCTGTCTGGCTCACAGCAGGTGTTCTAAAAATATTTCATGAAATACTAAAAAAAGAAAAAAAAATTGTTCATCACTATATCTCCATCTCTTGCAATAACACTTGACAAAAGGTATAGGCTCAATAAATATTCATTAAATAAATGAAAGGATAAATGAATGAACAAAGTAAATTGAATCATCACAATGGAGAAAGATTTGTGAATAAGCAAAAATGTCAAACCACAGGACCTTTAATATTCTATCTCACAAGCCCCAAATGATCCAGCCCCGGCTATCCCTATGGTTTCATTTCTTGCTGCCCTCTCCTTACTCATTCTATTTCAGCTCTGCTGGTATAATTGTTCATCCCTGAAAGTGTCAAGTAAGCTCCCATCTCAAGCTGTTTGTACTTGCTTTCCCTTTCCCTGGAATTCTTCTCACTCACATAACTCTATGGCTGACTCCCATGCCTTATCCAGGGCTTTATTCTAAAATGACATCCTCAAAGAGGCCTTCCCAGACCACTAATCCCCACCCCAAACCTCTATCCTTTCAGCCTACTTCATGATTTTAGAATAGAATTTGTCCTTATATGGTATATTTGTTTATTCTCTTACTATCTAGCTCACTAGACTGCAAATTATATAATGATAGAATGTTTTCATTCACTGCTGTATTCCCAAAACCCAGGATAATAGTGGAATATAGAATTTATTTAACGCACATTTGTTGGACAATTACTGAATGAAGTCTATGGTTCTATACATCTTATTTCATAGGAGCAGGTGTACAGAAGACAAGGCATCTTCTAGCCATCATTAGCCACTAGGAGTAGAGCTGGCACTGTTATAGCTAGCATCATAGACCATTTCCTCTAACACCAACTCAAAACCCTCCCCCAGGGTCACCCAACTTCACTGTCTCATAGAAGCTGCTAACTCTCCACTTTCACATATTTCCTAAGGCTTCCTCCCTGGTACCTGATCCACAGCTGACTATAAGCTAATCACATACTAGTAGTGACTGGGCGCCCCCATCCTTGACTCCCGCCCACTGCAGAGGGCTTTATCCATCAGGAACCCATCCAGGCCAATAAGCATGCTCAAGAACCTTATTGAAAACCCACACATCTATCTATTAACTCTCCAAAAGTGACAGGAACATAAGATTAAAACTTACTCGGCATTCCCTGCAGCTCTTGGTTAAAATCCGCTGGCCTTCTGCAAGAACTCTTCCTCCATAGATACATTTTGCTGTAATAAAACAGAAAAATGGGTCAGTTGTTCATGCTGTGCAACAAAATGTCAGAGGTGTCATCCAACTTTTATAGATTCCACAGAAACATAGATTCCCTGATTCTAAGCAATACAGATCTCTTTGTCTAAAGCCAGACATGGGAATAGTGTGGGGGATAACCTTTGAATTCCCCAGTCAGGCCTATCTTGATCATGTTCATCTTGCATTCACACCAAGGACATATAGTTATTTTATTGCAGCTGCCAAAGGAATAAAGAAATGAATTAATGTATTAAGGGGTTAGAACAAGAAAGAACTGGTTGCCATCAACAGAGTACAATTAGTAGTAATTTTGATTGTCACTCCAGCTATAAAATGAAAGGAGGTTCATCTATGCCCCATTCATCCGAAAACTGTGGCCACAATGGAGAAGGTTGCCATTTATTTTTCCTTGTCATTATGGTAGGTAAGTGCTCTTAGCCTATGTGTTTTTAAGACACTCAGAGACAACTGAGAAATACAAGACAAACTAGTAAATTGCTTCGTCAATGTGCTAGAGAGACTTCTGTAGAAAGGTGAGCCTAACAGGCTAACAAGGAGGGCAGGGGGTAAAAGTAGGGCTGTAGAAAATTTCATAGAGGAGCATAAATGGAACTTCAATTTAGATTCCACTGGGACTCGGTCCTTAACTTGCTGACTCACTTTAAGCAAGTGCAAAACACATCAATTTGATATGACCCTAATGTGAGTCCACCAGTCTCTAGCCACTTCAACAGGAACCAGGAAGCAAAGGCCTGATTGCTCCCTCTCCTGCCCTGATGAGTGCCTCTCTGACCCTAACACTCAGGAGAAGCAGAAATAAAGACATGCACAAGCAGTAAAAAATCTCTCTCCCACAAACTCACTGTCAATCTTATAAAACCACCTCATCTTAAAGGGTCTCCATGTCTATACCTGTTAAAAACAGGTTGATTACACGTGGTAATTTCCTACTTCCACTGTCTTCTGATTCTCGTGGAATGTTTAAATATGTATATCCTCTATAATTAGCTGATCCATCCCCTTCTTTTAACATAGGAAGAGAAGAGACACTAGTTTACTTAACATCATAGCTCTGTAGTAGATACTGTGGTGTGCTACCCCAAGCCCTTCCATGACCAAAAGACACAGTCCAATGATTGTTGGAACAGTTGGCAGCTAGCAGCTCTCGGCTGACTATCTAGAACTTGTCCTAGGTTATAGAGAGTCAACTTGTCCAAGGTCAATTCCCCTTCCTGGGATAGCCTATATCCAATAAGTGGTAGATGAAGGTGATATAAAGTTCTAGTTTCTTTACTCCACTTAGGACAACTCTGAAAGGCAATTACAGTTCTGAAGAACCCCTACAGGAATAACTGAGGTGTTTGTAACTGCACTGAATTCAACTTCTCCTCCTGCCCAATTCTGTTTCTTTCACTACCTCATTCCTACCCCAGAATTTATACTGGAAGAAGTTCCTAATGAAGCCTATGGAAATCTCTGCTTCAGAGTTGGTTTCCCTCTCAGAACCTGACTGGCAGCAACCCCATGCCCCACACAACCTGTTGTGCTCTAGTAGTCCCCTCTCAGTGAATGGCACCAGCATTCTCCTTGGCACCCACACCCTGGCACCTGGGGTCAGGTCAACTTCTGCCTCTCACTCAATGTTGTGTCCATGAAGTGCCCAAATCCTAGCAATGCTCCCTCCTTAAGTTTCTCAAGTCAAATTACTTTTCTCCATTCCACACTCTGCCCCTGACACTGTCTTCATTGAGGCCATGATCATCCCTCCTCTTTAGTACTTCCTGAACCTCCTAACTCTCCTATGTTCTGATCTCAGGCTTCTCTTCATACAACAAGCAGGCATATTTTTGATGTGCAAATATGAGGTCCTCTGTAAAATCATTATGGATCCCTGACACTTTCAGAATAAAGAACAAATTCCTTAATTACCACACAAGGCCATGTATGTTGCTCTTATCTCCCAAACTTTATAACTCACCAAGTATGTGCTTTCACTCACCCTCCCAAACATTCATACCTCCACATATGCTCTGGCCAAACTTTCTTCTTCCTTCCAGGATTTGCATATAGTTTTCTCTGCTAGAGGGACATTCAGCCTTGTCCATCTTCCCCTGGCACCTCCTGACCTATATACCCATCAGTTTCAGTTCGGGCATGATTTCCTGAAGATGTTATTCTTCACCTTTAATGCTGGCCAATTGCCCTCAGTTTGTGTTTCCATTGCACTTTGGACCTAATCCTGCAGAGCACCTATCACATTACATCTTAATTTCCCATTTTATTATTCATCTTCCCTGATAACTATAACCTCCATGAGGATAGGAACGATTCATAACTTTATCTGCAGCATCAAGCCCAGTGGATCTCTGGCCTTATTGTTAGTAATGATTAATAGTTCTAAAATTAATGAGTTCTACTTAGTCACAAAACAAACAAAAAAACAGTCAAATTCCCAGCTAAGAGTTAACTCTGCAATTTAATACAATTTCCAACATTAAAAGTAGATACTGAGGTTTTAGAACAAAAACAACAAGAATGGAGAATCAATACAATTCCCTAAATTGAGCCTTTTACTCCTTTCGTTAAAAAAGGAAACCCATCCCTGATTATCTTTTATGCCTCCGTTTTCTAGATAAGCCATTGATCCTAATGATGATCTGGATTCCCTAATTTGCTTGCATAGAGACACCACATCTCCAAAGACCCGGAATTCCTATCTAATAAATTCCCATACTCCCAAACACAGCTGCTGCCAACTTGGCAAGGTGGCTCACTCCAGAGTGACAGTTCTGCTAAATGCACTGCTGTCAAATCTGCCATCTGCTTCTTGGCCCATGCTGGGAAGTACAGAAATAGACTTTTCTTCCTCCTTTGCCCCTTGCAACTCCCACGATGGTATTAACACACTGGCTACCCTGTCTTAAGACATTTGCTTGATTCCTTTTTCCTCTTGGACAGATTCACCCCATAATTCTTATCTGGAGAGAAGAATGTCTCACTGAGTCACATCCATCCCTCAAATTTACCAGTCCAGCATAAAATCAAATATCCACTGAACTTTATGCCTTTACATAGGAGGGTGATTTAGGGACTGGCAAATGATATCAACATGTTACTACAAACCCCAGTCATTTGCAACTGTGCACTGGTGCAGAACATGTATATGATTAGGATGCCAACTACCTATGAAATTATCTCAGACAACTTTCAGGATCGCCACTGGAGGTCACAAGAATTCCCTTTGCTTTCCCATAGTCATTCCTACCTCTATGACAGTGCCCCTCCCTCCCTGCCACTGCCCTCCATATGCTTAACATCAGTCCTCATTATCCAACCTCTTGATCTACAGCCAAAAGGCTTATTTTTGATGTCTGAGGAAATTCAAGCATAAGGTGAGTCAGGCTCTGGTGCCTTTGGCTGGGACATCTGGGACTTCATTTCAACAGCCTTCAGTGTGAGTAGAAACGTAAATGGATACCTGAAGCCGTTCATATCACGCCAGGGACATGCAAACTAGGATATTTCACAGTGTCCAACCATGAAATTGAAACCCAGCACCAACACACACTTCTCCATGATGTCAAAAACAAACAGACTGGGGATTTAGAGAAAGAGTTAGGCAGTTGTATCTTTTTACATCCCAGATATCTGGCCCTTCAAAATTGACCTTGATTTTTTGAGTGTGGGGGTTGGACACTTTTGCCATTTGGTTGCACACTGAATAAACAATTGACAGGTATGGCTTAATGTCCCTGTCACATGTAGATATGAGATTGCTCTGTCTTTATTTAGGTACTTGTACTCTGCACACACTCCAGTCATCCCTTGGCACTCAGCAGCCTAGAATGTCAACACTAGCATTCTGCTTTACACTTTAAAGAAGAGTGGCAGATCAGAGGGGCTAAAAACTCAAGAATTTGTCCTTCCTCAGTTAGCTAATTCATAGCCCCAGCTTTAAACACGACCTCTCTGAGCAAGACACTCACATCAAACTGGTTGTCCTTCAGGCATCTCCAACTCAAACATGCTGAAGAGAATTTATCAGTCCCCAATCTACTTTCTCCACCTGCCTTATATCTGTTAATCGTCCTATGAGTCTCCCACAGGCTGTTGTTCAAAACCTGGCAACCTCTCCCTCACAGACATTCATGCAAAACAATGCTTATCGAATATCTATCCCGTGCCAGGTTCTCTGGCTGTCACTCACATCTACTCCTGCCTTTGCATCTCTCTAGGCAGTGCCTGACTGCCAGGCTCATCACCTCTGCCTGGAATTTGCCCAAATCTTATACCTAACGCCCCTGCCTCCTGCTCCGTGGATGCAGTGGTCTTTCAAAAAGCACTCCTTTAAGTATGCCACAACCCTGCATGAAAACCTTGCTTTTACAACCAAAATCAATGCTGCGTCTATTTCCATGATTTTGCACATGCAATTCCTCTAGCAAGTATGTTATTACTCACCTTGTGCACCTAGAAATTCCTACACATTTGTAAATATTCTGCTAAGCTGTTATCCGTGAAGTTTCACACACACACACACACACACACACACACACACACACACATTTCTGATGAAGTTAATTACTCCCTTCTCTGTGCCATCTCTATCTCACATCATGTTCACATTACATAATGTTCTTTATAGTAATAGAGATGATGCATGAAGTGAATAAAGCAGATAGTTTAAGAGCATCAATTCTATAGCCAGACTGCCTAGGCTCCACCTAGATCCCTTGGGCAAATTACTTTTCCTCTCCATGCTTCAATTCCTCATCTGTGAAATGGGAATAATAGTGGATCCTACTACCTTGAGTTGTTAGAAGAATTAAAGGAATGAATGCACATAAAATGACCTAGTTCCATTCCTAACACAGACTGAATCATCTACACATCTCTACTGTTGTACCCAAAGTTTTTAGAACAACATTTGGGATAAGTGACATCAGTAAGGATTACTGAATGACTGCAGTAGACTATAATCTTCATTATCATCCACAAACCACATTGGCAATTTCATTTCTATTTCTTACCTATAAACACCATGCATTGTTTTCAGACTACCTCCTTTTCCCTCTACCACTTCAATTTCTTTACAATTTCTGTTTTGCATAGCTGAAAGGTTTCTTCTCCTCTTTTCCTCCTCCTTCTTATCTCTGGTAGTTCTCAAATATATCTACCAAAAGAATATAGATCTTGGGAAACTGCTACCTGGAGATTCCAATTTGTAGGTCTAGATGGGGTTCAGAAAAATCTCCAGTTTAAGAATTTCATGGGAGGGGGAGGTGATGTGTGCTAGCTATGCTCAATATGCCTTGAATACAGCAGACACCCAATATGCTTTTAAGGAATGAAATTCCTGCACCATATTCTGGATCCACTATGGACACCTAGACAAAGTTCTTTCATATTTCCACACAGCTGCTCTCCTTTGTAAGTGCTCCTGTGACCACAACAAGTGCACAAACATTTAGAAAGCCAGCAGACAAAACATCTGTTTGCTTGTTTCATCACTGGGAATTGAACCCAGGGACACTCTACCACTGAGCTACATCCCCAGTCCTTTTTATTTTTTATATGAGACAGGATCTTGCTAAGTTGCTTAAGGCTCCACTGAGGAGCTAAGTTGCTGAGGCTGGCCTTGAATTTGTGATCCTCCTGCCTCAGCCCCTCAAGTCGGGGAGAGTCATCACAGGTGTGGGTCACCACCCCCAGAAACAATGTGTTTTATGTATTAGCTCTTTTTTCTGAGTCATAACATACCTCCTTGTGGTGTTCCTGGAATACTGCCTTACCTAAACCCAAAGAGAATCTTAGAAAAAGGTTTTTGGTCACATAAAAGAAATTTACTTGAGGCAACTCTCAGAAGAAATAGAAAAAAAAAGTCAAAATAAGGAACTGAACCAAGGGAAAATAAGTATCCAATAAATAATGCCTTCAACTATATTTATGATAGCATTGAATGTGAATGGATTAAATGAGCCAATTAAAACAATTCAAATTGTCAAACTAGTCTAAAAAACATGATCTAACTGTTTGTAATTCATACCAGTTACACTTTTTTTTCTCTAACCTTTGTCAGTTTTAATTGACAAAACTATATGTGTGTATGTGTATATATATATATATATATATATATTTACTTAAAGTATACAATATGATGTTTTGAAATATGCATACATTGCAGAATGGCTAAAATGACTAGTTAACCCATGCATTGCCTCATGTACTCATTATCTTTGAAACGCACAACCAAAGTAAATATTTTTCATCATTTTTTCTGGTGTGAAGAGATATAAAAACTTCTAGAAATTCCACTGACTATCTGCTCTCATCCCCCAGCACTCAACTATCAAACCACTGTAGCCATCTTCTACAAAGCTATGAATATCCACTATGGCTCCTCTTCCTGAAGCATTCTACCAGTGTCTTCTCTGCTCTAACAGTGCCCCAATACACAAGTCTGCTATACTGCACTTACAATTCTGCACACTGAAACCCAGGTCTCTAGATGAAAGGTCAGCTCTGATGGGGGAGGGGGAGGGCTCTTCCATTGCTATTCTAGGCACCCCTGCTCAGTAACTGCCTAATGCATATTTCTATTAAAAACTAGTAAAAGATGAAAGCCTTTCAGGCCAGAGGTTCTCAACCTTTTAATTACCTGAGGTACACTGTATCATTTATTTTTAATTTTTTCTTGAGTGGTATTCTTAATAATTTATTTGTATTCTCACTTTATTAAACTCTGAACACGTCAAACTATCAATCAGAGCTGCTGAGAAAATTAGTGCCAACTAAATAAATTGCTATGAATTCCATAAAAGACCAAAAAACACCGATGTTTTAGTTAGCATGTATACTAACATCTTGGTAAAATTGAGAAACTTACTGAGATAATTTTTAAAACATAAATCTCTCAAAGAATTAGAATAAAGAAAAATGACTATCCCACAGAATAAAGAAAAATGACTATCCCACAGAAATTTAGTGAGGAGTCAATTTAATAATGTGTATCCAGGTCCCTGAAAAATGTTAGCGTTTGGCCCAATAATTCTATTCCAGGAGAATTCTATCTTAAAGAAAACAAAAATATACAAAAAAATATGTTTTCTGTATGCAACATACTACTGAAAAAAGTAATTTAGAATAGCAAGAAGTGGGAATCAACCCAGACATCCAACAACTGAGGAATAGTGAAATAAGTTATGCAACAGACAAACAGTGGGAAACCATGAAACTCACTAAAATGGTATTTATACAGTTTCTCAAAAATACACTTAAGTGATAATCGTAAGTCAACAAAATAGGATCTAAATTGTCTGCTCAGTATGACCTCCTCAACTGTACACACACACAAAAATCTCTTGAAATGCAATCTGCTAAAATTTCAGGAGTGATTTTTTTTTCCAAATGACAGTATTATGTAAATTCTCTATCTTTACCTTTATCCTTCTCTGTGTTTTCAAATGTTATATAATAAAGATAGTGCTTTTACGGTTTTAAAGAAAAGCAAAGCAAAAACATTAAAAGCAAATACAAAACATCTGAAGGATCCATTGCTCCCATACCCAAACATCTCCCAAGTATTCACAAATCTGCATAGGGAACTCAAAATAATTTCATATTTTTTAACAAATTCCTAATCTTTTTTCAACTTCTTTCCTTGATGACAATTATATACAATATCAACATGGGAAAAAGGTAACCCGCAGCTACTCATAGCTATCTTTCTATTATAGAATCAAACTATAAATTCAAGATCTGGACACCTGAGCTCACTGTACTATCAGACATCACCTCCCAAAGTCCTTGGGACATAAATAAGAAAGCTCCTCCCTCTAGAATAACCCCAAGGACACCTTCAAGAACAACAGGTACTGTGCCAACCACGACAAGCAGGAATACTCCAAAGTTCCTTTTGAAAGAATTCAACAATATTTGAGCTGGTGTGACCAGGCCAGCTATCCGTTTCCACCACTGTAGCAGGTCACAGGCTATTCCTGGCAGTGTGACCACTGTGCCTTGAAGGCTGACTGATGTTAGCATGCGTCTTTGATAACTAAATGATCTTGAAAGCTATCCATGGGATGCCACACTTCTAACCAGAACCCTCTTCTGTGGAGACCACAGGGTTTGATGAAAAGACCACAGGCTTTGCAGTCAGCACAACTGGTTCAATAACTCACCCTGCCACTCACCAGCCTTGTGACCTTAGCAAATTGACTTATCTAAGCCTAACCTTCCTGTAAAATGGGGTAAAAGCAATACTTCCCTAACACATTGCCATGAGAATGCAAGAGACTGGTAGAATTAAGATACCCAGCACGGTACACGGCACATAGTGACAGCCCTCACTCCTGCTGCCTCTGTTCATTTCACTGCTTCACAGATGAAAAAGCGTTTTCAAATCATATTATGTGAACCAGCCAACACAAGGAAACTGTTTCAATATTTTGATTGAATACCATCCTGAAAATTCTAACAAAGTTCCCTTAATAACAAGAGAATCTTGCCAAAACACAGAAATAGGTACTTGATCATTCAAAATTAGGAGACAGAAGCACATGAAATTTTGGAGTTGTAACTGTACAGATCATCCCCACCCAGTGGTTTGATGACAAGTGATTTAACCTCTGTGAACACAAGTTCCCTACACATAGAATGGGAGAACAGTAATTACAGGTGATATAAGCGGTGTTTTTTAAAGGAAAAAAATCCATGTAATAATGTCTGCTGCATCTGCAAGTAATTAAAACATCAGGCTCTTCTTATTATATATTTAGTACTACAGCAACTGCCGGTGCTTCATTTTGTCAATGTCAATCAGTTGGATCCTGAAAACAGAGGAAAAATAAATCTCAAAGCACAGACGGACAGTGTGACCATCAGTTAGTACTTACGTCTGCAGACCTTACAACACTGGCCAGCGATGTGCACAGGGAGGGATTCAGGAGAGCAATTGAGAGGGGGACAGGACATCCTTCGGCATTCCACAGCGCCACTCTGAGGAAAAGAGGACAGGGAAAGAAATCTCAGGGGCATCCTTTGAAACTCTCCTGTGGTGTTGAAAGTTCACATCTCATCCCAAACACTCATCAGGGAAACAGAAGTAGTGTGGGAATTCCCAATCCACTCCAAGACCATAAATAAAGCATTTTCTCTAGCCCGAAGGAACCTCTGTCACCTCAATTACTTTTCTGATATACATCACTGGCTTCATCCCACCTGCCCATGTGGGCTAAGTAAATTAGGCAGAAAACAAAAAGCTATTTTTACAAGAACATAAATAACACCTTTTGCAGACCCTGTCAATCATTTTTGAGACTCTAACAACCCATTTTGTATTTTCCTGGATAAACAATGGCATTCTTCAGATATTTATCAAGTAATTTCAACTCAACAGGGTTTACATACTAATTTTTGGAAGGGGCTCTCGTAATTCTCTGAAACAGATGAAGGAGTATACAAATAATGAATACCCTAAAAGGCAGGGAGTAGGGAAAATATCTTGCAATTCTCTGAAAGAGATGACAGCTTACAAGATACAACAAAAACACGTAGCGACTAATTAAACCCCACCTTTTAAATGTGATTCTGGCAGAGAAAAGTTGAAAATAAAGCTAACCATTAGGTTGTTTGAAAATCAAAGGAGTTTGTTCCTCCTTCTACACTCCAACTCCCAAATTTCAAACAGTAAGGTCCTCATGATAATATCAAATCAGAGTGTATCAAAGAAAGTAAATTTCAGTTGCCACGCATTTACACTACAAATGACACTGTTCCAGCATCATTTCACAATTGCTCAAATTGCTAAGGAGGAGTAGGTATAAAGGAATTAACATTACATATTAAAGAACACGATTACATTATAATTAGTGAGCCTGTCCCCTCAAAACTGTCTTATGCTATTTATTTACAAAGGGGCTTACTTTGCATGTGCAGTTCCTGCAGTGGTCACCATCAACCCAAGAGTCTTGGTCTCGATAGAGCAGTCCACTCACTTGACAAGTCTTCTCGCAGTGACAGTTTTCCAATTGACTAAGTCTTGTCTCTGCATAATTTAGCTTCGGGAGAAAAAAAAAAGAATTACTGGGCATAATAGTGTAATTTAATTGTGTTGTCCTAATAAAGCAATAGAAACAAGAAAAAAAAAATCCAAGCAGGAGGAGAGAGAGAATATTCAGTTCAGTGTTTCATAGGGAATCTGTATCTTTCTTTTTTTTTTTTTTCCACATAAGGTGAAATCACTCTAAATTGAAGACATATTGGCTGGTACGGTCTAATGAACACCAAATGAGACATTAAACTCTATTGCAGGAACCTCACGGGTGTTCATAAAGGTATGTACTTTCAACTCCAGCCCACACAGTGAAACATGGGTAACAAATGTGTTCTCAAGGACTGATTACAATGTTTACCGGAGATCTAATCAGAAACTCCAGGGCACTTAACATTTATCTCCGGCTGTCCTCTCCATGTTCTTCACATACTAACCAGAGTATCAAAGTTTACAAGCTAGGAAGTCACTGTCTAATATAAAAACAAAAAATTCTAGGGGACCTGGGGCTAGGAAAACAAAGGTCATAGAAGGATCTAATTTATCTCTAGGGTGTGATCCCCCAAGAATGTCCCATGAATTTGCTTTGGTGTTTAGATGAAGGTCATGGGTGATGAGCAAACGACCAGTTGAGATCAGGATTTTGTAAAATAACCTTTTCCATATTCTAGGCCACCCAATTGTTACCATTAATCAGAGTCTTCGAATCTCCAGTTTTGAAGTGATTATTAAGTGGGGATGTACACACTAAAGAACACACACAGTGACCATCCACCATTTGCACGTCTCCAGAAGCAGGCATGCACTGTCCCCCTGAGGGAAGCCACTTTTGTCATTAGCTCTGGATGTTTGAAACAACTTCCTTGGTTAGAGCTGTGACATCTCTCTTCCTTTTTCCTATTAGATCAATTTTGCCCTATAACCCATCCTGAGCAACTCTAATTTTCAAATATTGGAGGATCTCCAGGCCTCACATCTGCTCTAGACCACAATCAGTACCACCAGGTCTCCTTAACAGCTCCTTATGATATGGTTCCAATCCTCCCTCCTGATCACTTTTCATCCAGCCAAAGCAGCTTGCCTTCCAAAATACTGTGTGGTATTGACTGGGTAGCTAATTGTAGAGTGCTTGCCTACCATGCACAAGACCTTGGGTTCAATTCCTAGCACCAGAAAAAAACAAACAAATGAAAATACAATGCAAAAAAAAAAAAAAAAAAAAACCCTGAATACGTCACTTTGGTTAGAACTGTCTTTTGTCATATCCTTATTGAATTCTACCCAAAAGCAATATTGCCCTGTGGTCCTTTCCCTCACATAAAGACTGCCATGACTGAGAAAACAATACCAGTTCCTATAAATACATCTTGTAGTTTCTTTTCATCTTCTTAACTGCACTTATGTCTCCAGATCTTGAGTGTTCTCCCTATACAGGAGATCAATTCCATCTTTGATGCAACAAAAACTATTTTGAACCAATAGTTCAGGTCTAGTGTTTTGAGTCTGGGGAATAACTATTCCTCCTATCTTTCTAGGTTAACCATAATTTCATTCCTTACATGCTCCTATAAATTACTCTCAACCACGCTATCCTTTGGAAATGAAACCCATGTGTAATTCCAACTTCTAGTTTGTTATTTAGTTTATTCTCTTCTTCCAAGTTTTTGCAACTTCTCAGGGAAACTTATTCATTATCTTTTATGGGTGGAAGCAAAGGGCAGAGGAAATAATAAATAGGATCTTAGACAAGCCACTTACACCATGATCAGCCCCCAAGGAACTAAGAGTTGACTCTGCTTCAAATATTCACTTTTTGTGACTCCTTACAATATACATGATCTTCCAAAAATTCATATTTCACTTAAAACTCTGACCTAATCATATGGTTACTAGGATCTATGGTAATCAGAATCTATGGGAAATCTTTAGGAAATCCAGATAAAATGTATTTCTAAGAGTTTGGTAAGGTTAAGTTAGTCAGCCATATATAGGTCAAAGATAATAAAAAGGAAATACTTATTTATCACTGAATACCTTTATTCCATTTCTATCAACTCCACTAGTTTTTACATAAGGTAGTGACTGAAACATGATCTAAGATTTCACAAAAAAAAAGAAATAGATCAGCATGCCTCTTAAAAGTGGCTTAGAATAGGGTGTCTGAGAGCAGAAGTGCCTGTCTCACTTTGAAAACCTGGAACAGCTCTGGAGTCTATATCCCTTCAAGAAGAACACTTTCAAAAGTCTAAATAGTCCAAAATGCAATTCTGTGTCTATCCAAGTTTCTTGAAAATCTAGGAGTTTGCTTTGGGGTTAATATCAGCAATTATCAGTATTGGCCCAACAAAGCTAAGCTATGCTCATCTACAAAACTCAATTCCTAAGGAAAACATCAATTTCAATATAATGGATTTTGTCCCCCTTCTGAACTTTGTTTTTATTTTTAATATATTTAGCCTTTTCTGACAACATTGGAAAGCACTAATCTCTATAATAATAAGAGTGCATCAGACAGACGCAAAGGCAAGGGGATATTAAGTCAAAAAAGCTAATTTTTCAAAGGCATTTAATATGTAATCTTGCCTTCCCTGCTAAATCCTATAACAACAATAAAGGAGAAAAACAACTCTGAATCAAAAAATGAATTACATTTTCTGTCATTGGTATTATCATGCTGAATTTATACAAATTCATTTTCTAAAGCTATTTCTACCCTACCTGCCATTTTCTCCAAGAATGCTTGCAGATCCAGAATAGATACGGTATCAAATCTACATCTCTATTCTGTTTTGCCTCTGTTCATGCATTAATCTAAGCAACCATGGACTGAATCATTTATTCTTAACTCTACCCATTCAAAGATAGACAGCAGAGGCCTTTTTCACAGTAAGAGGTCAATGATTGGATCTGAGTACATTAGTCATTTCGTAGATTGCTTTTTCTTTGAAATGCTATTTATTTGGAGTTCGATATATAGAAGAGGAAAAAAGAAATCTTCCATTGTTAAACCTTTGAGCTTAATTGAAAAATCATTATTGAGCCCCTTGTAACAATGAAATCTCTAAATTAAATATGTTACAAGCTGAAATGCCACTTCAAGCGCTGCTTGATTAGCCTACACAGATTTGTCAAAGATTTAAACAAAAGTAACCAAGGAATTCCCAGTCTCTAGCCTCTTCTTCCTGAATTTAAAAGCAGAATGGGATTTGGGGGGGGGGGGGGGTTGGTTGGAGATCAGGACCTTATCACAATACACCTGATCTAGCCAGAGGGTAGTTCCCACAATAGCAAGACTTCCTGAAAGAATTTCAGAGGAAGCCAGGGGAGTGGTGGACTCTAGGGGATCACTAAGGTGTGAAGGAACAACAATACAAGGGAGGACTTACTACTTCAGGTAACTCTTTTTCACCTTCTCTGCCTTGAAAAAAAAAATGTACTTTTATCAAAATCATAGGATTTCTTAAGAGGTCTCTTCTCTACCCTACCTCTGTCACCTGAATGTGATTTGAGTGCAATTCCTATGATCTTCCCTGGCTCAAGCAAGGACATAGTCATTTACCAATACCCCAACTCTGAAAGGAGAAAAGGAACAGTGAGCTATCCTAGGCAGACCCTTGGGCTGATCTGGCTGTGGCTACCAAGCCCTGTCCAGATTGTGCACTGGGCTTGCTCTCTGGGAGGGCTCAGGGTTTTCACTATGAATAGTGTGAAGATTCTCTGTTACCTTTCAAGACTTCTCTGTACCTGCTCTAGACCAGGGCCCTGACAGCAACTTGTAGTCTCTGCTGGTCTTTGTAATATCAAGTCATGGGGAAGGTATGCATTTTTTTTAGGACCATCTTTCCCTTTTTTCTAGGTTTGACAGCAGAAATAACAACAGCCACCACTTATCAAAAGTCTATTCTATGTCCTGTACCAAGCCTCACTCAACTGTTCTCATGAAATATTTACAAAACCAGGAACAATTTTCACCATTTAATTAAGGAAGAACAGCAGGTAGAACAAGTTTAATGAGTTGCTCATGGTTACAAACAACAAAAAAAGTGACAAAAACGGTACTCAGAATCAGATCAATCTGAGTCCAAAGCCCACTCTCTATCTGAGCTAATGAGTATACACCATCTTCATCATGGCTGCTGGACAGCTCAAACCAAACCTCCAAGCTTCGTTCCAATCACATAAACTAAATCTTACCACAATAGGTTCATTTAACCAAAGGCAAAGGCTGAGTCCAGATGGACTTGGTGCCTCAGAATTCTCTCTGCTTCTGGGGACCATATTTAACTTTTGGTTTGTCTCACATCTCCAGGTGCCATCTTCCTCAATTTGCCAAAAGACCAAATTACACTTCTGCTTCTACCAAGACTTCACTGATAGACTCAACTAAGATACCACATTCAGTATAGAAATGAAAACTTCAGAAAATTATCACAAGATTGACACAAAGAGATGAATGCCACAAAGGCCAAAACAAAGTGACAGCAAGGATCCCAGGAGGCATGTGAAGCCAAAGGTGGCCTACATCCTGAAGGTTTCTCCTGAAACATGGAGCCTTTGAGCTCCTCTTTGGTGGCTCACAGGATATAGTGAGGCAGAACTGGAGATCAGGGTATGCCCAAGATGTGGGTCTTTTATACAAAGGTGGGGATCTGATGGTCTGTACATTCAGCTTTACAGTGAACTAAATGGAAACAAGCCTTGCACAAAAGCACAAGGTAAGTACTTCCTACTCAGACTTTGGCACTGGCTATAGGGGGAAAAAATTTTTTTAAAGAATTCTTCCCTGATAATTCACCTGGCGTAGCCTAGGTTTGGAGACGGATCCTGGGCACTGAGATAATATGATATAGGGTGGTCCTAAGTGGTTCTGTCCGAAACATACACAATGCTAACATGCAGGACTCAAAGAATTCCCACAAATTTCCAAGGAAAAGAAGAGCTCACAGCCAAAGGGTGAGATAAAAGCCCTTGTCCTTGCCCTAGCCTTTCTCCATAGGTTACTATAAGCTCTATTCACTTCCAACAGGTACATCTGAGAATTTTAGCTCAGCTTGGTAAGTGATCAAACATGCATTCATCTCTTCCTCTCTTTTTATTTCCTTCTTCTTTCTGACATCTCCATCTTCTTGCTGGTAGCATCTATCTCCTTCCCTCCACCACTCAGTCCCTCTATATATTTTCAATATCTCTTTCACATTCTATGTTTTGCAAAATAAACTTTCTCAGTCATGATTCAACCTTCAGGATCTAAGTACCCGAGCTCAGGTCCCAACTCTGTCATCCATTATATTAGGAGAAACTACCTCACCTTTCTGGACCTCTTTGTTCTAATCTGTACAGAAGGCTAATAAATTAAATCTAGCTCACAGGATTTTTGTGAGGATTAAAGTGACAGTGCATATGTTAAAGCACTGGAACTAGCAAATACTAAATGTTCAATAAATATCACCCAGCATGAGTGACTTTCCAGCTTCACATACTTCAAGGGATGATAAACCCTTGACAAAGACCCATGGGATAAGTTTGGTCGACCACTTATTTTCGTACAGCCTGTGAGCTAACAATGTTTTTTACATTTTTCAATGGTTATATTTTAAGTTATTATAAATTATTATGTTTAAGAAAAACAAGTACATACACAATATCTTCAATTTTACGTCTTGGCTTACAAAAGTCCTAAATTTACTAGTTGGCCCTCTATAGAAAAAAAAAAAAATGCCAACTCCTGTTCAAGATTCCAATTATGCAGTGAAAATGGAAGTACTCAGTTGTAGAATTATAATTCTATGCACACTTTGGAAGAAGCAGACTTATACTCCTGCCAAAGTGCTGGGGGGCAGCAGGAGGTTAGAAGGTGGATTAAACCATTTTCTGCTTGCAATTTCTCATAATTAAATATCTTCTGTCTCACAAATGCCCATTTTACATAATAATGTTTTGAGGATAGAGTTCATTGTGGCTCCTAGACAATGTATAGCTAAAAAGAAAAATGGCATTCCCTGCAATGGTAAAGAATGAGAAAGAAAAGGGCATCCTCAAAGCTGGAGAATGGAGAACCGCAATCACCTGAGACTGAGTGGCATGTTTCTTGTTCCAAAAATTTGATAGCATGCTAAAATATAATTAACAGTATTGAGATCAAGCTGCTCCAGACAATATGAAATAAAAGCCTCTATATGCCACAAGCTGAGATGGCAAATAATTGCTTGCGTTTCACATTTCCACTGCACTCTGAAGTGAAAAGCGAATGCCTTAGGTTTCGAGCCTCAGTCTCAATTTTTCTCTTACAAAAGTATTCCATCTCTCCCTTCCAGACAAAAGGGGATTTCAGTTGGCCAAAAACTCTAGTTTGAAATAGAAACATTGTCTTCAATGGTAAAATCCAAGGGCCCAAAATATGCCCCTACCTCCCAGTCACTTACCTACCCACCAAATTTTTTTTTTTCCACATGCTGTGGCTGAAGGCAGGGAGCAGTCATAACTGCAGGTGGAACGGGATTAATGTATCATTTTCACTGTTATTAAAATTCTTCCTTTTTCAGAGTATAATGTCTCTTAGGCCCAACCTAATTCTTTCTTAGCCGTAGGCCGGAACTCATGTCCACAACTGATTGGTATCATAACAGCAGCATTAACCACATTTTCTTTCTTTTTTTTTTTTTTTCCTGTGCCTTTCTCTATGAGGCTCAGGTCTTTTCATTATAAATCTACACTTTATGAATAAATATTAAGCCCCTAATTGTTTACAAGTTTGGTTCAGCCACTCGATATGAACATGTCTTGTTCATCATTGCCTCTTGGCACCTAACACAGCGCCCAGCAAGTAGCAAGTCCTCGCAAATGCCTGTTGAGTGAAAACAGCAGTGATGCAGAATCATAAAAGCAAAGATGCTGGAAGACAAACTTGGCCTTCTTCCCTATTTAACTCAGGACCAGTCCTGAAACGAATCATATGATCGAAATTTGATATAATGCCCTCCTGGGACAGTAATCTGTTCCTAACAATAGCTATTTTGCCCCTCGTGATTACTGGCAATTATTCTTACATCCAAAATGCATTAGCTTATAAGCAGCAGTGGCTCTGACCATATATCATCTCACAGTGTTAGTAGTTTAATGGCCAATGGGCAAATTCCTTTTCCACTCTCAGAGAACCAACAGTGATACATATTGCCTCTTGCTTCCAAACATTTTTCAAGAAAAACATTTTGATAAAGCCTAATAGTATCAAAGACCTGAATGGTTATGTTTACTATAGGTGGTCCTATTTCAAGTAAGACTAAAACAGTTTTGCAGTAACATATTGCAGATGCCAAGGCTAGAAATATTTCCATTATAACATATCACTCTAAATTCCGGATAGGACACAGAAAGAAATGAAACATCACAAGTGAAATTTAGATACCTACTTTTGCAGTCATCTTGGCCAAAAGCTCCTGTAAATCCATTATTCCTTGCACCAGGCTTAAGAAATCACTGCAGGTTGGGCAAGCTCAATAAAGAAAATATAAAATTTATATTGATCTTCTGCTAGCATAAGGAAAAAAAATTTTTAAACAGTGGTTGTTTGGAAGGATTTCTGCTTTGCTATTTTGGTTAAAATTTGAGTAAAATCACAGAAGACTTCAGGTCTAGATCTTTTCCTTCTTTCCTTATTCTTTTGTGTGTGTGTGTGTGTGTGTGTGTGTGGTACTGAACACAGGGTTGCACAGCCAGGCAGGTTAGATTGCTTTTTATCCACTGAGCCATAATCCCACCCCTTTTTTTAAAATTTTGACACAAGGTCTCACTAAGTTGCCCAGGCTGTTCTCTGCAACTGGTGATCCTACTGTCTCTGCCTCAAGTTGCTGGGATTACAGGTATGTACCACCCACACCCGTCAGGCCTTTTCTTTTTCAATGTAATAAAAGAGAGAGAGAGAGAGAGAGAGAGAGAGAGAGAGAGAGAGAGAGAAGGAGGGAGAGAGAGAGGTGGGGAAAAGCTGTTAATTAAAAATAAAGGCAACATGACATTTTACATTGAAATTAAACCCTAATTTTTATTGCAAGGTGACTGGAAAATGTACCATAACATAGAAGAGGAAAAAGTAAATTGGCATCCAGGTCAAAAAATTCAAAGAATAATTCTATAAAAACTATGTGTGTATATGTGTGAGTATGTGTATGATTATATTAAATATGCATTTGTTTCCAAATACAGAATCTACTGTTTATACTTTTCTTACCTTCAAATTTTAATTTTGCAAACAAGAAACAATCTTTTGAAAAATTCAAAAGAACTATGCAATATATATAATAATTTCACTTTTGCTATCCTCACCACCTCAGAAGTTAGCCCTGCAGTTTCTCTACACCCTTCCAGATGTGTTTCTCTGATATTATGAACAAGTTATATATTCTTTTAAACGCACAAATGCTGTACATTGTTACTTACTGCGATTTAGGTTTGGACACTGTGTTATGTATCCATTTGGCATAAAGATGATTTTTCCATCTTGGATGATCCCCTTGAAAAAGAAGAGACAAGGAGCAATCACAATTACAGTCAGCAGGTCAAATGGCCCTGTGAGATCTGACAGCGGAACAGGTCAGATTATTTTTGAGCAAGACTGATACATTCAAAAAGTGAGTTCACCCTTTCACACTAAACTACTCCAAATCATCCTCTTCTCAGAATCTTGAGATGTACATTCATTTTGAGAAAGCCACAGTTAGTTACCACTAACTAATGCCAATGAGATCACAGCTCCAAGGACCCATCAGTAAGTGTCTTTAAACTACCAGACTAAGAAGGCATGGGTGCAATAAAATCCTCCTCAGCACCCCAATCATCCTGGGATGTTAAATATTGCTAATTTTTGGGACTTCCTTTAAGAGTGGAAGGAAATAAGTAATAGACTAAAATGATTCTGTTGATTCATTTAGTCAAAGAAATAAAACTGAACATCAGGAAAATTCTGTAACAATTTTCCCTCCTCAACTGAATGAGTAACATTGAGACTTTACTAGTAAATCTTTAGATTTGTTCAACATCTGTCAGATAAAGGTGATCTTTTGAAAACTGTAACTCAGTCTGCAAAAATACCCCAAATTTAAGAGAGTCATCAGGGGCAGCATCTGTCAATGAAAATATTGACTTGGCTTTTGGGTTTTTCAAGTTAAATTTAAGATTCTGTTTTTAGGTCTATTTGGTTTTTGTCTTTCTTTTTTTTTCTGATTTGATGGAAGAGAGATTATAGAACAGATGGGAGATGTGGAATCTGGTTTAGAATATTGAGCTTAATCTATAAATAAAATATAGGCTTAAGATAGTGCTGCAAGACGTTCAGAGGGAGTAACATTTAACATTTATGTGCTCATCTTCTAAACAGCAGAAGGCAATCAGCAAATGCCATTTTCTGCTTATTATTTCAAGATAAAATATTAATTGAAAATATTAATAGAAATAACAGGATCACAGCACCTCTTCAGCCAAATTATATACATTTATTAACCTCTTCCTCTTACAGGATGATACACCATTTTTGATTACCAGAGGAGGCAGCCTCATGTGGGGAAGGAGTCCCTGCCACTGCTCCTTAAATTAATTCATAATCTCTTGTAAGGTATACTAGGGAGCAATTAATGGAGCAAAATCCAAGTGAATCAGCTTCTCTCAGGACAGGGCTATTCATTTTTTTCAAAGCAAATTAACTCCTTCAAGAGGTTAGGGCAATTTTAAGCACATTTGGCACTGAGGAAAAATTCAGAGGACCTGGGTTCAGGTTCTAGATCTGACCCTAGTCCACCAGGTGAGCCTCAGGTAACTTCATCTAAAAAAGGAAGTCCTGGATAAAAAGAAAAAAAAAAGCTAGCAATCCTAGCAAATTCTGAGTCATTTAAACAGGAATTCAAATTGGTACTATTACATTTTAGATCTCTGCTTTCATTACCTTTCAAGTTTATATAAACTTGAAAGGTAATGAAAGCAGAGATCTAAAATCTCTAAATTGATCAATCTAAAATTGATCATATTATATATGATCAATCCAGACAGACAAAGCTATAGATTTGCATCAAAGAATAGACCATCATAGAGAAATGAATATTGCATTAGAAAACATCTGTCTAATCAGGTTGATCATGGATGAATCCAGAGTAAACAATCATCCTGGTCTGTCCAGGACTTAGGGATTTCCTGGGACATGGGAAATTTCAGTTCTTAAACCTGTGAAGAGATTCATAGGCAAACCAGGTCAGCTGGTGGTTCTAGATGATACAGAAGTGGTAAAAAACACATGCACCAGGAAAGGGCTGGGCCCATCTATTTTCTGTCTATTTCATTCTTATTTTATCCTCTGTGGAAAGGGCAATCAGAAGTCTGGATTTCATTAGTCATGTTATCAATTACCTTTCAAAAAAGGGCTGGGGCTGGAGCTCAGTGGCAGAGCACTTGCCTAGCATGTGTGAGGCCCTGGGTTCCATCCTTAGCACCACATAAAAATAAACAAACAAAGGTATTCTGTCCATCTACAACTACAAAAAAAAATAAATAAATAATAAAAAAAAGGAAAATCCACTGAAAGAGAATATTCGATCCTGTTTATCCAATAGCAGTATAAGCTAGGACACAGTAATTTTCCTTGTCTTTTTTTTTTTTTTTTTTGACCCTATTTATTTCAATTTTGATAAATTTCAAATTGTTCCCCCTACCTTTCCTCTTTCTCTGTATTTCCACTTTTAATCTCTGGCACAACTGTGTAAGCTTAGATCATTAGGTGAAGGTCAATGATGTTGACTTGAACAAAAACAGAAATAAAAGCTGACAGCTTCCCAATGCTCATTAACACAAAAGCTCAAAGTGCTTGGTATTTTTTCCGAACAAAGGTCAGAAAGGTCAGCCCACATACTGGCATGAAAACTTGTTCTTGCCAGATAAATCAAGATAAGAATGTTAATTTGATAGTGAATGGATGGAATTTGAAGGTGGGTTAAAAGAAAGGTGGTGATAGAAAACAAATATCAACTGGAACCCCAAGAAGTCTGATTGTATGCGTATGCATGAGACTACATGCATATGTGTGCATTTCAGCAGGTTCCTCAGCATAAAAACCAGAATGTCTTGCTCTGAATTGCTATGTGGATCATTTAGCAACAGGACACTTGTCAATGAAGAAACACTTGCTAAACTGCAAAAAGGAGCTTTGCAGAGCATGAAACTACAAGCTACAAAGTAGCTCATTAACACAAAGGACTTAGTTCTCCAAAAACCTATCTATGAAGGCTTCCATAGATGAAAATGTGCCTTCCAGCACTGTAACTTCTCCCAGAGAGATGAAATAAGTATAATGTCTATTATTTCTCCACATTTAATCTGAAATGTATTATACTTAACTGAAATTGCAAATTAGCTAGGTTTATGTCAGTTGACTTTGTTTTATCTCATTTTTTCAGACCAATGTTTTATTTCTTATTTGTCTTGTCAATGTTGCTCAAGCTTCAAGTTCCTTGTGTTCCTAAATACATGAGCATTTGTTTAACATTCAAATTCCTGGCCCAGTCCCCAAAGAATCTTTTTCAGTAAGGTTGATGTGGGCTTAGGAATCTGCATTTTTCCTGTATTTTCAAAAGCTGTCCCTGATGACTGATAAAAAATAAAACCCTGCTTTATTTTCGACCCTTGGCTTCTTTTAGAGCAAGAGGATTTATTTCCTAAAAGTTCATAGCATTTAAAATATCATCCCAAGCCTACATATGAACAAAGTAAAAATCTCACTGACTTGAAACTGAATAGAAATCAATGGAATTACTAGATTATAAATACCATCAGGACAAAAGATCATATACTTTCATCTCAGTATCCCCTGCTGTTTCTATTGTGGTAGATTTCAAATCATAGGCACTGTAAAATATTTTAAAAGCTAGAAATTCTAGAAAAGTATGAATTATACTATATTTCACCACATAATTTTGAGAGCTGGTAGGGTCACATAGGGCATTAGTTTTTAACCTAAAAGTATCAAAATTTCCAGACAGATTAGGAAAGGATAGTCTAGTGTTATTTTGAAAAAGATTCTGAGTTGATTTTGAACCTTTAATGAGAACTATTGACCTAGGACCAAGGCATCCAGTCATTTAACCTATGAGAAACTTAAGTATCTAAGACTTCAAGTAGCTTTCCTAAAGGACATCTTTAATTTTAAAACATACACTACATGTCCTCATGTTGCAAAACCAGTCCACTATCATAAGCTATAGGTAAAAAAGCACAATTCAAGGGAGGCCCATGGCTAATGTGCTAACAAAATAATGCTACAAAGAGGTAAGGACCTCTTATCAAAATGAGGCTTTATCTTTATTGTTATAATAGATACTAATCAAACAAACTATAACAAAGTATTTGCATTAAACACATTAGACATTGTTTGCCAAAATAGTTTTTCAGGGTTGGAAAACAGAGGTGGCTTTAGGTAGCCCAATATTCCCCCTGCAATCTTATTTACAGTATTAATTTGGGAAACAATCTATTTCTCATCGTTTGTGCAAATGCTAAACCTCAGCAGATCTGAAAATCTAAATAAATCCCTAAGGTATAGAGTCCAAATTAATAAGCTTTTACAGTTAGTGAGAAACCAGCCTCTACCTCAGAGCAAAGCCTGTCCAAGGAAGGGAGGCATGACTCTTTTCCTTGGAAAAACCCACAGAGCATTCTTAGGCACATACTCACCCTGCTGAGTTGTTTATCTACAAATAACAGGAGAGATCTGCAGTGCCAGGTGTTCCTGACTCAGTTAGGCTAGGTGAGGACCCATAGCAACCCCCTAGCAACCACCAATCAGCATGAGACAGGGAAAATACCTGGGATGCCAGATGACCTTCCCAGTAGTTTTATGGTTGTTGTTAACATGTTGGGAAACCGTGTAGTTCAGCACGTACTCCCCTCGTGGTTTAAACCAATCAGTTCAAACGAATTCCCCTCTTGTACTAACCAATCACGCCTACCTAACTTGTTCCCGCCAGTGAATGTGCTAATTATGTTTTAGAGTTGTTTTATTATTTTCCCACGGTGTGTGATGATTTGCTAAGAGATGCTATGATGTATGTGAAGTCACTGCCTTCCCCAAAGAGTGTATAAAACTGCTGCAAACCCTGGGCTTGGGGCCTCTCAGCGTCACTAGTAGCTGTGTACGCGGAGGACCGAGCTAGCTTGCAATAAACGCCTCTTTGCTGCTTACATCGATCTCGGTCTCTGGTGGTCTTTTGGGGGTCCCAAATTTGAGCATAACATTAGTACTGATAGATGGGGGGAAATTTGATAGTTTTTTCTTTGTATTTTTAATCCACCTGTTGTCACCCTATACCTTCTGCAGTCAGCACCGAAATAGAATTTGCACCAAATAGATTGTACATTATGGGTTTTTAATGTTCAAGGAACTAATGCCCATTATTCCTAGAACATTTTTCATTTTGCAGTAAGAAATATAGGAAGGTACAATAAAAAAATTAGAAAATTATGCCATTAGGACCC